TCCGACGTCAAAACTGAACCTGACAGTGGAGCATTTTGTTTTTTTTTTGTGTGGACAAGATTGCTGCTTAAAGTATTTTATCTTCACGTATCCAATGAATACTCGAGTGTTTGCTGTAAGAACGAAAGGGACAAGCTGAGGCTTAATAGCATGATTCACAGGCACGGCTGTTTCTCAGTTGCTTTGGAAGTTAAACTTGTTTTCTTGAAACAAAGCAAGGCAGTGTTGCTTTGGCAGCTTACTTAAACAGTTTATTGAGAGCCATGAAAATCACCTTTGCGCGACAGTTCTTCGAGGTTTCCAAATTCCTGGTTTTGTACACTGTAGGGTTTTGATTTTCTTAAGGTGTGTACCGGGGGTTTGAAGCAGTTTAGTTGCGCTAACCTAAATTTGTCAAAAGCTTCAGTGTGCGAAATGTCTTGAATACAATGCTAAATGTTTGCCTTGCATTGGTTAACAAAAGGGAATATTGTCTAAACCGCCATTCATTCATATTTGCTCAGTCGCCCAGAAACCCAATCAGGAAAATAATGGCGAGGGTTCCCGATTGTTCCTGTAATTTGTTAACATTATCTTAGTGGTGACTGGAGCCTTGAGTGACTGTAGTGTGTTGGATTCCACACTGCCCTGATGAAGCTGGACCTTTATGTAACCCCTCCGACTCTTAACGTGCTTTCTAGCGACCTGGATATATAACCTTGCTGGCTGTATTAAGTGAAGTTGCTAGTTTTCTGGGGTCATCCGGGGCGAGATTCAACATCTTGCCAAGTCCCTGAGCTGTGCAGTTCAGTCATTCCTGTGACCCTCTCTTTCTCTCTCTCTCTCTCTCTCTCCAACCCCACCTCTCTCTTCTCACTTGCCAACCATTCTCCACTGAGTGAGCCATCAGTCTTCCTTGTGTTCTTCCCAAGCTCGTGGATTCCCTTGAATCTCTTCTCTTGGCGCTGTTATTCCAGCAGGCTTCAGCGAGCCTCACGTAGAGCACGAGTGGAAAAATAGAACAGAACCGTCTTATTCAATCGGCGCCTTAAACCCCACCTCTTTTTGATACAGTTCTTGCTTATCTTTCTTTCATTTGCCCCCCCCCCCCCAACCCAACCCAACACCGCCCCGAGGCCATTCGAAACACAATGCCCTTTGTTACTCTCCACAGCAACCGTTCAAACAAAAGGTGTTTGGATTCGGGTGGGGAGAGAGGAGAGAGAGAGAGAGAAAAAAAGGGAAGTTTTATTGTTTCAGATGCCGAGACTGTTAAGTGTCTATGATATTCAGCTGAGGCTGTCAGCTCCCCTGGCTACATGCTTAGGCCTGTAGAATGCAGAGTGCTTTGCTAGTAACTGCACCCGTTGTCTCCTTTCATTATCTGTTAATGGTGCTCAACATGACAGGGTTGTGTGATAAATGGAAGCTGCAGTGAAACCCAGAGCTGGATTCTTTGTCACTGAAGGCAGTGTTTGTGCCCGCGCTGTACGCGCAAGATAATGTTGTCGCATTTAACAAGATATGGTAGAATGTAAGAATGCACACGGAATAGTCGGAAACCACTGTTATTGCTCTACGTAGCCGTTAAGCAAAAAAAAATGGTATTGTGCTTTTGGTCACAGCAGAAATGACTCACTGATCCACTCTGTGTGTGTGTGTGTGTCTCAACTGAGACTAATAACAGCTGTAATGCCTCACCTCCTTGGATGAAATCTGGCAATGTTGGTTTTATTGCAGAAATAGACTTTAGTACAGCAGAATCCCAACTAACTCATTTGCTGGAGAAATATTACGGTTTAACCAGGATTTCTATGAACAGCAGGTAAAAATAGCCATATCGGCAACATTTTCCATTTAAGAGCATCGATAACAGCATCGATAAGCAAAGCAAATCTTTATCTCTTTCTGCCTCCCCTCTTCCTCCTGTGTCCTCCAGCCTCCCACCCCCCACCCTCTCAAAAAAAAATTGACAGTTGTAAAATGCGCTGCTGCCTCTGGGTGGAACGAAGCAATGTGGATTGATGATATTCAGGTTGCTGAACATTAAATGGATAATTGAAATTTTTTGGGGGCTGTATTACATGCAGTAGGGAGAGAATGAGAAGGTTTGGGCACAATAGAATTGCACGGTTTGATCAGGTGTGGGGTGTGTTTATGTGGATGTGTACAGTTAGTTAGTTAACTGTGTTAAATTGGAAGCCGCTGCAGTGTTTGTTGAATATTAAAACAATTAAAGTTCTGTGCTCCCGGATCCCTTGTGAGTGAGCTGCAGTATAAAACCAAGCCTCACTGTCTGGTGCTATTACTAGAGATTTTAGTATTTTTATTTAAAATGTAAAAAAAAATGGATGAATTGCCTCCAACCTCAATTATTGTAACAGCAATGACAATAATCCTTGCATTTGACATAGTGGCTTATCGCGTCTTCAAGACGTCTCAAAGTACTTCACGGAATATACTGTAAAGTGAATTGACTGTGTCTTGTGGGCGAAATTATGGTTTGCTGTATTGATCACTTCGGATTGTTACCAAACAACGGGGGTGGCTTGACACTGGATCCGTTTTTTTTAAAAAAAAAAGTAAAGTGGAATGAATTCAAGAAAAAAATCAATCAACACAAACGATTATGGGGAAGTACGCGATTCGCCGCAAAGGGTTAATGCGTTTTTTTTGTCAAAATTGCCCATAATCCGATGGCTAAATCGTAAAAACACAGCTGTACGCTTCAATATGGCAGCTGAAGTGAAGTGAAGTGTGTGCCTGTAAAATAACACCACCAAGCCCTCCGCTGCCTGTAGGAAAATACAATGGTTGGTGCAATTGGAAAATAGTGTTGCTGTGCTAATCTGGTCAAGTGTAGCTGTGTTTTGACTTGGCGAAGGGTTATTCAGAAACAAAAACCCCAACACAAACAACTTTGCGGCGTTTCATCTCCTCCTCCTCCTCCTCCTCCTCCTCTCACGAGCTTCAATCATGCTGCTCCTGATTTAATGAATGCTTTGTTCTAAGGAGTAATCGTATTCATTGCTGTATTCCTATTCCCTACGTAAAATGGATGGTTGATTAGAAAAATTTCTCTTTGATTAATTCAGGTTTGAAAAATGGTCTGCCAGTGTCTTTTTTTTTGTGTGTGTGTGTGTGTGTGTTTTTTTTTCCTTCCTCTCTCTCTCTCCTGAGTTTGGGATTGATTTCATCTATGACAGGTGTGGAACACTTACAATGCCACTTGGTTATGGAGCTTATTTTTCAAGCAGTGTTTTTCCCATGAGGGGCTCTTATTGAGAGGCTAATGTACAGTGGTGTCTCACAGCACAGCAAGCTATCGCTACGCGTTGTTCAATTTTTATTGATCTGTCAGGCTTTCAGGGCGAGAAAGGCATGACTGTTAATCAGCTGTCCTCTTGAAATAATTTTTTTTGGGGTGTATCCTTGGCTTGTGTTCGAATGGCCAAATGCACGATGGTGCTTGAATGAATGAAATGAATGAATGAACGTTGGCGGCTGCTTTTATTTTAATTAGCAGCCGTTTTTTTTTAAAAAAGCTTTCTTTGTGTCCCTTTTTTCGGTTTAATAGCACAGAAACGTAGTCCGGATTGGCTGCTTCTGATTATTGCAAATGATGCTTAACAAACATGTTTCTCCCAACCCTCCGTATGTATGTATGTATGTATGTATGTATGTATGTATGTATGTATGTATGTATGTATGTATGTATGTATGTATGTATGTATGTATGTATGTATGTATGTATGTATGTATGTATGTATGTATGTATGTATGTATGTATGTATGTATGTATGTATGTATGTATGTATGTATGTATGTATGTATATGTATGTATGTATGTATGTATGTATGTATGTATGTATGTATGTATGTATGTATGTATGTATGTATGTATGTATGTATGTATGTATGTATGTATGTATGTATGTATGTATGTATGTATGTATGTATGTATGTATGTATGTATGTATGTATGTATGTATGTATGTATGTATGTATGTATGTATGTATGTATGTATGTATGTATGTATGTATGTATGTATGTATGTATGTATGTATGTATGTATGTATGTATGTATGTATGTATGTATGTATGTATGTATGTATGTATGTATGTATGTATGTATGTATGTATGTATGTATGTATGTATGTATGTATGTATGTATGTATGTATGTATGTATGTATGTATGTATGTATGTATGTATGTATGTATGTATGTATGTATGTATGTATGTATGTATGTATGTATGTATGTATGTATGTATGTATGTATGTATGTATGTATGTATGTATGTATGATGTATGTATGTATGTATGTATGTATGTATGTATGTATGTATGTATGTATGTATGTATGATGATGTATGTATGTATGTATGTATGTATGTCAAGGTGTTGAATATTTCACACAATAGATGTGGATCCGAGATGCAGATGACTCCAGGGAGATACTTTTGTCTCTTAATATCTTGCTTTTTTTTCTGATGCATTTTCTGGCTGATCAGGTACTCCCACACAAGTTCTGCCACCACATTAAACAGGAAAGTGTACACACACACAGACACACACACAACAGACACACAACGCGCACACACACAACACACACATACAACACACAACACACACATACAACACACAACAAAAGGGGGGTATGGGGAAATTCAGCTTTGCTTTCTTTTTCTGTCTGTCTCTCTTCCCTCTCTCTCGCTCTCTGTCTGTCTCTCTCTTGTGCCAACCCTTCCCTTCCCCATCAATCATCTACCAGTCATCAAATCACAATCCAGCTCCTTCTTTTGTGTCCGTGTGTGTCTGTGTCCGTGTGTGTGTGTGTGTGTGTGTGTATATGTGGACTGACTCCAGTCCTGGTTTTACTCGGTGCTGCTTCTTGTTCTTGTTGTTGTTGTTGTTTGGTGGTGGTGGGGAGGGGGAGGGGGGGGGGGGGGAGAAAGAGAGAGAGAGAGAGAGAGAGAGGAGAGGAAGAGGTTTTGTCCTCCTCCTCCTCCTCCTCCTTCATCATCATCGGTGTCTGGATGAAGAAGGAATAACGTCAAGGCAAGGCGTGTGGAGTGCCAGCGAGCGAGCGAGCGAGCGAGCAGCCACAACAGCTGAGTGTGAGAAAGAAACCACAATCTGCACTGACTTGACTCAAATCTGGTAAAAAAAAACACACCCCATCTGAAGGCTGTGATTTCCTTTTCGCTGCTGTGTGTGCAACCTTGTGTGTGTGTGTGTGCGTGTGTGTGTGCGCGCGCGCTCTCTCTCTCTCTCTCTCTCTCTCTCGTGCGCTCTCTCTCTCTCCCTCCCTCTCTCGCTCTCTCTCTCTCTCTCTCTCTTATTTTATTGTAATTAAGTTGGCCGCTCTGTGGTCCTGGCCAAGCTTGACTTGAGAAGCAAAGCCAAGCAGGCCTCTTTGTTAGCAAGTGCTTTGCCCACCCCCCCACCCCCCCGTCTCTCTCTCTCTCTCTCTCTCTCTCTCTCCTTCCTCTCTCTCTCTCTCTCTATATGGGCTGTGGCTTTTAACCAACACAGCAACGCTGACATTGTTTAGCCCGGGTCGCTGTTGCTGGATGTAAAGGGGAATCCCCCCACCCCCTCACCCCCCCCTCCACCACCAGGATAAAAGGTCCACCTTGGCGGAGGAGGCGGGGTGGGGGGGGGGGGGGTCAGGTCCAAAAAAGCAGCTGCTGGTAAAAGTTGCTACCGTCAGTCACCCTTAGCTTACCTCGAGGAATTTTTGAAGATATAGCAGATTGTGGAGGATGAGCGCAAGAGAGAGATAGAGAGAGAGAGAGACAAGAGACGCAGAGAGATGGACAGACAGACACAGAGAGACAGAGACAGAGAGAGAAAAGAAATAAAAGCAAAGATGAATAATCCCCCTCCCGCCCCCCCCCAAAAAAAAAAATCCTTTTCCCGCTCGTGTCGTGTTGTGTTGTGTGTGCCTTCACTTTCTTGTTTAATGTGGTGGCAGAACTTGTGTGGGAGTATCTGGAGAGTGGCACGAGCGGAATGCCCTTTTATGTTTATTGTGGTACCCGTACAAAGTGTGGGATTAGCTTTTTTTAACACACACATATATATATATATATACATATATAAAAACACACACCACCTCATCAAATTGCGTTTGTTGCTACAAATTACCTTTCGACCCCCAGCCAATGCTGGGCCACGAGAAAGAGGACCTGTTTGTGTTTAGGTGGCGGTGTGGGGGGGTGGGCTGGGGTGATGGGGAGTACTGTGGGGGGGAGGGAGGAGTGGGGGGTGGTGGGGAGAAATGAGAAAGCTTTTATTGCCTTTGTTTCATTGTCATCCTCAAGCTACTGTGTGTGTGTGTGTGTGTGTGCGCACATGTGTCTCTGATCACCATGGAGTTAAGAGCGTGCCTCGTCAGGCATCCAGCAATATTAATTATACAGAGTTTTTTTTATGTGTATATATATATATATATATCAAAAAAAAACTTCTGTTAATGACACACGCGCACGCGCACACAACAAAACTACTACTCTGGAACTGTTGATAGAAAACGAGCTTCTGAAACCCTCGAGTACTTGAGCGTCATTGTACTTTGGCATTCGGTGGCTGGCGAGCAGGTCGAGGAATGTCATTTGATCCGACTGCATGATAGAATTGGCTCGAATTACTCTGGTGTTTTCTATGGTTTGCTGAAAGCGATGCATCAGTGAGCCGGTCCTCAGCGACAAATTTTAACGGCTCCGCCGTGTTTGTTTTAGTGTGTGTGTGTTTTTTTTTTCCGGTTTTCCGCGCCAGCGTGTTTGCTGCTCGCATTTTGTTTCACGTTTCCTTCCCTGCCTCGCCTGCCTTTCTGCTGGAGATGCATCCGAGATGAGAGCAAAAGAAAAAGCAAGCGCTTGAATATACAGCATAATCTATTTCCTTTAGGTTATCAGTTTCCTCATTTCCCCAATGATTGGATACCACGATAATGATACGACGGCAAACTCCTAATTACATCAGTTAGAAAAATTGTTTTTTTTTCTCTATGGGTTGGACAGGCAATAAAACATCTTGCACTGTTTACAATTATCTCGTTCTGTTTTGATCTGCTGGACTGTATGGTATGTTTACACCAGCTGTGCTGTAGTCTGCAGGAAGCGAGGGTCAGGATGAATTTGTGTAGATTTGACTAAACTGAAGTTGTCCTACTGTGACGTTTGGTTATGCTGAAGTAGCATATTTGCAGGGAAATGTTGACTGAATTGTACACATTGTACTAACCATAGATTTTAGTTTTGGTGCGTATAAGTGGTATAACCCGCATTATCGTGCGTGTCACTTTGGCTCAGTTACATGTGTATTTATGGGAGGGGATGTCAGACCAGTTGTTTATTATTATTATATAAATATTTTTACTTGTGGCCGGTTCAAAAGGATTTGTTCTTCTGGTTTATACTGAAAATGCTACAACTTCTGTTCAACAGAGGGTTCACAGAAGCGTTTCAGACCCAAAGTGTATGCTTGACATATTTGGAAAAATGGAGCAAACCAAGAAAAGTAACATCCTTTACCAGGAGGACACTCTTACAAAAAGTGCTCAAGAAAGAGGCATTGATGGAAAACATTTTACAGAACAAAACTATTTAAAGGAACTGGTTTGGACAACACTTTGCATCTGTTCCCTTTGTGGCTGGTTAAAGATCAGGTCGGAATCGCAACAGCTTCTTTTTTTTTAAAAAAAAGGCTAACTTTTTAATCTCAAAACAACAATGGAGAAAGGGTACCGCTGAAAAATGGCCGGTCACCGTCTTTTTGGAAGAAGCTCTCGGCAAACGAATTTGAGTTTGTGTAGCGTTTCCAATTTGACCGTGAGCTCACCCCCTTGTGAATGGCGGGTCACTGGTAACGCTCGCTATTGTGCCACTGACCGACAAATGAGACTAATCATCCATTTTGCTGTGGCAGTTAAAGATCATTTCATTGTTTGTGCTTCAAATGAATGAATGCCAAATTTCTGTTATTACAAGCTTACAAGCTGCACCAAAGCTCATGGTTTAGCAACTACGTGAAGAACATCTTAACATGGGTGTTGAGATGCATATGAGTCCAGACCCAACTACATTCAGCTCACCCAGGCAGGGTCAAACAGATGCTTCCTGCCCATTTAAAAGCTTTTTTTTTTGAAAGCACGATTGCCCGATATTTCACTCATCTGTTAAGATTGTATCCTTAACCTTAGCGACGTTGCTGAAGTAACCGCGGGAATAAGAGTGAGTGTTGGAGGCGTTCGTGCTTTCCCTTACCCGGGAAATTAATCCAGGTGACAAATTGATGTTTAACGGAGACTTGAGAACCCATCGGGGGGACATACAACAACAACAACGAGATTCCATTTATAAAACGCCTTTCACGTCAGGAGGACGTCCCTCATTGTTGCTGGAAGTGGGAGTTCTCAGGGGCAGATTAAATTTCTCAAATAGTGCGACCCATAAACCTCGCAGAAATTCCTTTGCGTTGTCTCCGTTGGTATTTTACTCACCTCTGGGTTCAGAAGGTTATAGCTTCAAGCCCCACGTTGGGACTTGAAGCTCATAGTCCAGGCTCACTGCAGGACCGGGGTTGGAATGCTCCTTTGGCTGAGATGTTATCTTCTGGGTGAGACATGAATCCAAGGACCCGATGGTCCTTTTCAGGTGAACATCGAAGGTCCCATGCCCGCAGTTTGCTGTTTGAAAAGCGAAGGGAATTTCTCTCTGCGTCCTGGCCAACAATCTTCTGGATTAATTGCTTATTCACCTCATGGCTGTTTATGGGGTCCTTGCTGTGCACAAATAAATAGCTCCAGTTTGGGGCTAAATGACCTGTGAAATGCAATGAGAAGGTTTGTGTTTGACAAGAGGCTTGTAAAATAAAAGTTCTTCTGTTTTTTTTGATGACGTCTAAATATTGCAGTTGGCGGATATAAACTGCAGGTTCGAAATCTCCTGGTTTGCCGTTTTACGTCAAACTAAATTGAGCCTGCGAAAACTCAAGCGAGTTAAATAAATGATCGTGTACTTTATTGTTCTCCTTCACTATTTATTATTGAAGTAGCATCCTGAAAGAGGAATGTTGGCGTGGAGCATAAGACAAATTGTGGTTGGGTTTAATGCTGCGCTCTTAGAACTTGCCCTTTGTTGCTATTTTAGTGCAGAGGTTTGAGTGTACTTGCCAAAAAGCATTGTAGTTTAAGGACATCTTTCCGTTTGAACAAGGCACAATTTTCAGCATGTGTTCTGACCGCCCTCTTGACATTGTTAATAACAATTCAGCTGTCTGTCTTGCTTGAGTTATGACATTTAAACTACAGTAAGGCACAGTTCACTGTTGACTGAAGAGGTAGCATTTGAAAACATGAATAGTGATGAATAAACTACATTTCTGGCACTCTGTCTTCGAACTTAAATCTCACTGTCACTCATGTAAACATTCGAATGCCAGCTGAAATATTCCGCACATTCTGCGCGTGGTGTTCAGAAGAAGAAAAAAAAAATGGGCATTTGTCAAGTAGATTGATGTAAAATTTGGATGCGAGCTGTTAGTGTGGCAAGTGGGCAAGAAGTCTGCCTTTTGTATCCCAATAACAATGGGAAGGGAAGTGAAGGTTGTAAATTTTACATTAGCGAAGCCTAGGGGGAGTCTGTTAATGTGTTTGTTTTTACAGCGCTGCGTTATAGGTGAAAATAAGCTCGCTTGGAAGTTCTGCGCTTCAAAGTAAAGACAAAACAAAACGTTAACCTTTTACACCCATTTCCTGCGAACGAAAATTCGTTTGCGAAGGGAAGTATCGGCGAAATTAATCGGAAATCGGGACGCTCCGGGGAATCCAGCCCTCGCCCATCTGATAGGTGGTGAGCACGGGCAGCAAAGAAGACACCTTTTTTTTTGTAGTAGCAGTAGTAGTAGTAGTTTTTAAATAAAGAATGCCAGTCAAAAATAATTGTTTAGTTGTAACTTTGTCATTTGTGAATATTTAGTGGATGGTGTTGCACGGGTTGGGCTGCTGAACGCATAGACCCTCAGCAAACAAAACATTTATAAAAAAAGAGGAATGACTGAGACAAATAATTACATACCATTATGTTTCCAGGGTTTATCACCAGGTTACATGGGGCTGCTCACGTACTCAGTTGGTGTGACTGAGTAACAAGCAT